ATAGACCGTATGTAAAATGGACGCATTTCTGTTTTACGTTTGGGTTTCCTAATTATGTATGATGAAAATAGTTTGATGGTGAATTATGGACCTAGAATCAAAAATTCTTTCAAGAAAATGGCTTATTTAATTTAATTATTTGCTTTATTTAATTAATTAATCCCTTTTGATGCACCATATGTTGGTTGAACTGATTGCCAGGTTTGTTCAGACAAGCTACAGTCGTAAAGCTTATTATCAAATAATATGGCTAAAAGTCTCCATAGTTGTGTCCTCACTACATTAGAGTACTGTTCTGTCTCCATGGGTGTGTTGTCCCCGTAGCGCAATGAGGTAAATCTTTCTTAAAGGAAATAGATGCTTAATAAGAAAAGTTAGTGTAAGCTGGTGCGCCTGTCAGTTGCAGTGCCAAACTACTCTCCATTGCGAGACTGTTCTTCCGAATTCTGCTTTATTTTACTTTGCTGGATATCGTAAATATGAGTACAGTTCATTCGTTACCTCCAAGTTTGTTACGTTCTTGCTAACCATAATAGCATCTGCTAGAAAACTACTCTGCTTAACGAGTATTTAGAATTGGACAGAATCAGTAACCACTTAATGCTCTGGTGACACGAGATGGCGTTTGTCCCCGTTTGCAATTATTTTTCGGCTGGGATTCTCAGAGAAAGGCATCTTTGAGTTATGCAACGATCTATTGAAGTTCGCATCTGACAATAGGCAGTAAGCAACAAGCACTGACATTAGCGGTATTAGCGTTCACTACTACCCAACGTAAATTTTGTGTTGCATGTTCGAACGTCCGTTTTTTATCCGAAGAAAATCCAGACTTGCTTATGACAGCATTTTTCGATATTCCGATGTTTCACATTTCGTTGACTGCTCTGTGACCCTTGAAGTAATCTGTTTCCTTCAGTTACTGACTGCTGGCTGTGGTTCACTCGTAAATTTGAACCAGACACACATGTCTGATTTTCAAAAGTCTGGCCTGGGGGTAACAGCAATAAGAAAAATCCAGTGAAATTAGATAAATCAGATCATCAACTCTGTGCACTTCAAGGTGGACAATACCTGGTCGGAAGTAATCGGTAGTCATATGGTGCAAGAAAATAAACATGATTTAACAAGACAGTAATAGTTTCTCCTTTGATACCAAATTGAAACTACGTAGCAGCACCGCCCTCTTGCTTTTTGCGATATAGGGGATAATTTAGGCAGTCTACGACTCCATGGTATTTGAGCACCTGCGGTACATGGGTGCAAAGCTGCATCACTGGGCAGAGCAGAACAAAGGCGTGTTAGTATATCTGCTTATATGCTACTATCCATAGGCATATTTATGCATAAAACAAACCCAATCTTATTAGTTTTTCTAGCATACTACTAGTTTTCGATATCGCCGTTAAGAGGAATAAAATATTTTCTTTTGATACCGGATTGAAACATAATGACACTGTTAAATAAGACCCTGTTGTGATGTAGCTGTCACGTATGAGCTTTGCAATTTCTGATAAAAATAAGAGTTCAGTTCTTGATACCAGATTTATTCAACCGGTAGGTGCAACACTCCATTGCTTCTAGTCTCCTTGGGAGGCCGGCTACGGCTGCATGGTGTTTGAGTACCTGCAGCATTTTGGATGCAGGAGAGCATCATTGAGTTGGGCTGAATACAAGCGTTCCAGCACGAAATAAATCTATCGTTACGATTATTCAGATACATAGGCAAAACATAAGCTGAATGTTCCGGGGTAGCTATCACATAGTAGCTTTCCAGTTGCGCAAAAACGCACCCCCTCTTGCTCTATATCTACCGCTGCAGTTGTAAAGATATCACTGCTGGCGGCTGCCCCAAACCCTCTGATTATATTTTAAATTTGCCTGCGGATACTGGCAAATATAGTGTGCTGAAACATGCCGTCGTTCAACAAAACGAAATTCTGCATTCGATGCTCTGCAGGTGCTCAAATTTTGTGAACTTACTCCTGCTCAGTGATTCC